TCGGTCAGAAATCAGAGTTGGTGGGGTGAGCGGTTTACATGGGCCGGTTGCCAGAAGCTGTTGGTGGATTGAGTTCACTTTGTCTTGGAAGAGGTCCAGGAATGTGGTGCAGAGGTCAGGGTCAGTTGAGGAGTGGTGGTGGTGGTGGTGGGGCTGCCGTTGGGGGGGTTACAATTGGGCAGAGTAGGCGTTTGATGATGAAAAAGATGCACCTTGGGATGCCAATCATTGTTTTGGTGTATGAAAGAGCTTCTCTATGTTCCAACTTGGTCATGGTAGGCTACCAGTCCTACAGTGAGCTGTTTGAAGTTTTGAGGGAGGAGAGGGAGTCCCTAGTGGTGACCCCAGAAGTGTTGCCAGTAATGTGAGCAACTGTAAAAACAAACAACAACAACAAAAAAAAAAACTTCCTTTGGTCCCCGATCAGTTCAATGTCAGAAAGTGTAAATGCTGTTTTCTCAGGCCCCTGTTAGGCTTGGCCTCTTAGAATTGCTCTCACTTTTCTCTCCCTTACGGCACCTTAGGGTGACTCTAATGAGGACAAGTGGTATCGAAAGTAGCTTACTGAAGATAACAGCATCAACACAAGAGCATATTAGGATGTGTTTGGATACTTGCATATTCCAGATTCAGTTTAATTAGCAATACTTGCATGAGACCCAACTCAGTTGTCAAACAAAACCAGCCTACTTTATAACTTTATGCCTTGAAACACAAATTGTCAGAGAAGGCCAGGCAAACTCCAACACAATAATATGCTACACAACAGTTGGCGAACTGCAGCTTTCCGTGGCAATGGGAAGGACAACATATTCCTTTTCTTACAAATCATTGTCTCTTTAAAAATGTTACGTGTCAGAATATTATTATACTTTATCGTGTCAAAAAATTCTTTTTTTTTTCAAAATAAATATTGATAAATGTTGCAGTAAAACTATACTTGTGCTTGTCAAGAAGTAATTAAAATATCTCTTATCTGGAACGCGAATGACAATGTGTTGTTTGGAGTTGGGGGGCTTCACAGTGGTGAAGGTCAGGATCAGCTCTAAACTGCAATTTTAAAAGAATAACCACAAGAAAATAAATAAACAAAACACATAGCCATGACCTTTAATATTTTTGCTAACACTTGGTTGTCACCCCTCTGACAGCATCACTTCCAATGAACACTCTTATCTTTGTGAAGACAGAACTGTTTGATGACTTGGTTGTTCAAGGGTCATAATATGTTGATCGGTTGCTGTACCAGTGTCCGCCTACCGTAATATAACCATAATATTATGAATCCTGTGTTCTATAATAGCCACATTCAAACCCCAAAACATTCCAAAAAAATCCTGCGCGACTGCTGTTTGAAGATTGAATGGGCCCCATGCCACCTGTTATTTAGTTACCAAAGGAATATTAAATCTAAAAAAGAATAATAATTACAGCAACATGCAGTAAGTACCACAGAAGCGTGCCAACAAAAAGACAAGCTTCAAATGCCGTCTTTAACAGGCCCTAAGAGCACGGCTTCTAAGTACTGTTTACTAAAACTCAGCTCCATTTATGGAGAAGTCAGCCGGCGATGTCTTGCAAGTATTTGCGGGCTGCTCACAAAACGACTGTCATGGATGAGAAGACTGTGTAATGGGTCTTTCCCCTGTAAGGTCAGAACTTTACAATCCAGTGAGTGAATTTATTTGTAAAATGTTTGGAAAAGTGAAGAAAAGTACACATTGAGAGGGATCATTGCAGGGGGTTCTTAAGTTCGACTGACTTCAAATAAATACAATTGATATGGAATATATTTTGATAACTGTTGACTTTTCACACATTTGTGGCTGAGTGTATACGGATCCCGTGCAAATTCTTGTTTTGTAAAAACAGTCCGAGTGGACCAGTGACTTTGAGAGTGGCCCGCCAATGTTTAGGAGTCAAGTTTGCTTGTTGACCTTAAAAATGTTCCATGGATGGAATGGCCCTGAGTGAGTCACAGGAGAAGCCGTGCAGCACCAGAGCAAAAATTATCCCCCCCCCCACCCCCCAAATGACACTTTATCATCCATTGTTAACTGTAGCTATTGGGATTAAAAATGATGCATTGAAATGTTTGTGTTTGCTTTGATTGTCAATGTCTAAACTGTACATGAGTATTTTGGGATTGGCACCATACTTTTAGATTTGTTATTATAATTATTTTTTATTTCATTTTGACTTTTGTTTTTTAACTTCAGTTCCAAATTGTTTTAGTTTTGATTGACAGTGTGGATGTGGGTGTGAATCTTTGTTTGTATGTGTTGTATGTGCCCTGCAACTGTCTGGCAACCAGTTCAAGGTGTAGTCTGCCTCCGCCTTCCGCCCGAAGTCAGCTGGGATAAGTTCCAGCAATTCCCTGCGACCCTGTTCACAATAAGCTATGTTGAAAGTGGACGGATGGATAGTTTTAACCTTGGCACAATCATATGCAGCTCTTGTATGTGGATATTAGTTGAATGCAAGTGTATCCAATGTGCTCTGCAAAATAATCACGCAATAATAATTACAAAAGTATATGCTGGAGAGCAGCACTGTAGATAATGGTCAGCGTCACATCCAAGAGGTTTTGGGTTAAAATCTCAGCTGCGACCTTCCTGTGTGACATTTACATGTTTGTTTTGTTTTGTTTTCCAAAATCCTGCATGATAGATGAATTAAAGACTCGAAATTGTCCAGACGTGTGAATTGTTTGTCTACATGTGCGCTGTGATTAAATGGAGACCATGCAGTCAAAAGTGTACTCGTCCCTCCACAACCCTAATGAGGACAAGCACTACAGAAAATAGATGGATGTTAGTCATCAGCAGTATGAAAAATACGGCAGCATCCTGTTGGAAAGCTTTAAAAGCAGCAAACACAGTGAATCAGCTATGATGTATTATTCCTGCTGACACTATGCCCTGTCAGGAAAAAGTCCGTCCCTGAACTACTGATATCTGACAGTAAATCAAGAACGGCGGTGAAAACGACTACAATTTTCATGTTAAGCCTTGCCTTCTAAGTGTCTTTCTCCTGTGAGACTGAAGAGGAGATGGTCAGATGATCGCCTTGCATTGTGGGGTCACTCCCACTCGTTCCTGTCTGCCTCGTCCCCACTCCTCCCCCCACTTCTCTTTCATTTCGCTGTTCCTCCCATAGTGCCAGCGAGACAACATACTGCCTTGCCGCTTGTTTGGATAAGTTAATGCTGAGATGTCAGCCTTGATTCTGATGTATCCCACCTGTTTTGGCCTCCAGCTGACCTCGCTCTTCCAGCTCCCCCCGCAGACATTCCAACACTTTTTGGGGGGGGGCTCTGTGTTTACAATACAACAGGCAGCCCCACGGTTTCAATCTGCTCCATCATAGTGTACAGTGGCAGGCCTTCCCAAAGAAGAGGAGCCTCCAAGAGAGTGAGCAAATCCCAAAAAGAAAGTCGGCATCAGTGTTGTGTTTTTACACAAATCGCCTAAAAGAGCGAAGGACGGGTTGGTCAGTGCTGAGGGGGTGTGGGGGGCCTCCGGTCACTCATAACATGCCAAGATCCTCCCACTCAAGCTCATGTGAACACCATGACCTCACCGCCTCGGGCCTTTCAATGAATTAGCGATGTTGATTTACAGGCCATGAAAGACCTCAAAGCAAAGACTGGCGTCAAATAAAAGCAAGTTTTCAACCCAAGTTGTCACCTCAAAGTTATGGCCGCCGTTAATTGCTTTACTACATCAATTTGGGGTTTCGACTCAGAAATGTGTTCATTTTGTTACATCACTGGCTGATCTGGGTGTGATATGAAGTGTGTGTAACCTCAGTTTAGAATCAAACAACGTTATAACAGACTGTAACTGTTTGATTTGACTTCATTTGGATGTTGTGACTTCACTGTACAGGTCTGAAAGTTGGTCAAGTATATAGTTCATTTCATCATTTAAAATTTGTTGAGCTTCTAGTATAGAAAAAAATCTACTTTGTTTTGTTTACCAATGACACTTTTTTATACCCAAATTCTTTTATATTGCAACATTTGTTAAATACATATTTTCAGAACCTCTGTAATTGTTAGAAGGGTTTTTTTCCATTGTCTAATAAGCGGTTCAGAAAATGGATGGATGGATCATTACATACAAAACGATTCATATTTCTGAAAAGTTCAGCGTTTCAACGTTGATTTCTTTCTGACTGAACGCTGTCGCCATCATGTGGTAAGTAGAACACACGACACATTAAAAACCGACTTTCATTCATTCCAGCATGGACATTTTGTCTTAAAATTCCTGAAAAATAGACCATCACTTTTCCGATTTTCTGCTACATATTAATCAATAATAGGTAATAAACTATCAAAGGCTGGATTAGCTTATTTTTTTTTATCAATGGTGCAATTTTTATTACATGATTTGATGTTTACAATTCTTGACACTGTACTGTAATCATAGTGAGTGAGACATTCAATCAAGGCTAAGTACTTTATGAAAATGTGAAAATTAAAAAAAAGTACATACCTTTGCTCTCTCCATTCCTTTTCCACATTCCAAGAAGTCGGCTGGGATGGGCTCCAGCATTCCCGCGACCCTCATGAGGATTAAGCGGTTTCGGATAATGGATATACAGTATTGTGCTGTATCTAACCTCCTATTCCCTCCCCACATTTACCAAGGTGGCAAACTGTGGTCCTCAAGGGCCACTTATTCAGATTCAGAAAACTTTATTTATCCCGTGGGGCAATTAGAGTTGTGCGAGAGCAGCTTATTATAGAGACAGTCAGAGCAAAGGAAAAACATAGGATGAGAGTAAATCTTATCTTGCATGTTTTCGATGTTTCCCTCCTCCAACACCCCTGATTCAAATGAGCAGCTCATCAACAAGCTCTGCAGGAGACTGATAACGATCCTGAACATTTGAATGTGTGTTGGAGGAGGGAAATATCTAAAAAATGCAGGACAGCGGCCCTGAAGGATAGGAGTTTGACACCTGTGAAGTAAAGGATACATTTCATGACCACAATGTAATTCCAAACTTTTAATGTAAAAGACAAAACAATAAGAGGCTATCTGACATGAAGAAATGTCATTGCGTTCATTTATCCTTTTCTTTCTGCTCTTTCTCCTTCTTGTCTTTCTCAGCCTTAGCTTCCTCAGCCTCGTGTCTCTTGATCAGCTCTTCCACCTCCTTCTGTTTCAGCACTTTGATCTTTGTTTTGCCGTCCTCCCGTGTCAGAGTGGCAATCTCCACTGAAAAGGGATGGCAAGGACAACAAAAATGAAACGATTTCGTCCACAGGAAACCTCGTATGACGCATGTTCCGGGAATGGTTGTTTTGAGCTCACCTTTCTCTGCAGAAAGCTTGCTGACATCCATGGTTTTGTTGAGAACTTTGACAGCCAGAGCCAGAGCCAAAGACAGTGTCATCTCTCCCTCTTTGTAGTCTTGCTTCAACATGGAAACTGCAGCCTGAGTGCGTTTCAAGACAATTAAAAAAATGCATGCAGAAGGAATCCTAATTTTAATGGACTGTGTGCAGTGTTGCCAAAAAAGACTTTTCTGCTCTGAGACAAATGCAAGTTGAAAATTGGCATCCATTAGAGCTTACAGCGCTGTTGTTGCCGATGCACGTTGCCTTCCAGCCACCGTAGTTGCCACTGGGGTCACTTTGGTACAACTGGAAGCCATAGTGTTTGTCCCAACCCATGTACAATAGGGAGACACCAAACGGCCTCTTGCCTGTAAACGGAAACCATAAATGACAAAGACTCGAAACACACACAGAACTTGACAACCAATAAATAGAAATGAATGTGGTTTACAGTCTTTTTGTTGAGGGCTACAGACAGGTACACATCTGACAAGTGTTGGTAAGTCATATGCTTCCCCCTGATCATGCGTGGGATCCATCCATCCATCCATTTTCTGATCCACTTTGTCTTCACAAGGGTCGCGGGGCGTGCTGGAGCACATCCCAGCTGCCTTCGGGCAGTAGGCAGGGGACACCCTGAATCGGTTGCCAGCCAATCGCAGGGCACACATACACGAACAACCATCCACGCTCACACTCACACCTAGGGACAATTTAGAGTGTTCAATCAGCCTGCTATGAATGTTTTTGGAATGTGGGAGGAAACCTGAGTACCCGGAGAAAACCCACGCAGGCACGGGGAGAACATGCAAACTCCACATTGGGAGGTCGGAGCTGGAATTGAACCTCTGCACTGTGAGGTCCACACGCTAACCACACGAACACCGGGCTGCCCATATGTGGGATCCCTCCCATTAAAAATAAATAAATAAATAAATCTGAAAATGTGGAATTCAATCCCGCGCTATTTGTGTGGGATAAGGACAGAGCCCTGCAATGTGATGCAGAAAACTGGGAGTAATTGACAAACCTCCCCCTAAAAATTTTCATAATATACACTGGGGGTGTCCAGATACAACTTTTTCAATTCTGATACAATACGATATTGCAGCCTCGAGCACAGTCCGATATCGATCCATTACAATATTAGCAAGGAATGATACATGCTTATTTTTTGGGGGGGTATAAAATGTCAGAAGAGACTTCAGGATACTATTCAAACAAAGAACAATAATCATCAACAGAAGGTATGAGAACATACGAGCTATTTACTGGGTTCCATATATTCAACCTCGAACATGAGAATGTACTGCACTTGAATAACTTAAATACTGTACAAAATAAATGAAAGGACCCTGAGAAATGACCATAATAACGACAATAAAAACAAAAAAAAAAATACTCTTTGAAATGCAAAACAACAATTTAAGTTTACTTCAGTGCATTTAGAACCAATCATGCTACTGTATAGAAGAGCAGGAGTGGAGTCTGGTATAGACCACTTGTATATGAATGCTAATATTTGAGATTTTTTTTTTTTTTTGGAGGGGGTGGGGGGTGACAGATATCGAACCAATATCCAATATCAATATCGGATCAGGACACCCCTACATTACACTTTAAACATACCACTACCAACAATACTCAAACATTTTAATACCATTTCAAAGTAATCTTGAAACATTACTTTCAGATTCTTGAAGGTAGACAACAAACTAAGCTTCCTACCTCCAAATTGAGTGTAGGCCTGCTTGATGTCACACAGTGCTGTCACCAACTGCTCACAAGGCATTGGCTCCTGGTACTGCAATAAATACCTGAAAAGGAAAAAATAATGCTCAAAAGCAACATTTCAGACTTAAGAGATGGGACATTTGTGACAATGAAAGGTTAAACATAAGACACGTTTTTCTGAGCCTTACCTTTGTGCAATTAGCCGCAGTTCATTTGTCAGCACATTGGCATCTGATGTGATACCTGCGACACTGCAAGCCATGTCCCTAAACACACACACACAAATAAGAATTAAGATGACTACGCTTTGTCCACGGCGATTAGCAAAGGGAGCTGATGCACTCACTCATTGAGCTTGTAGATCTTCTCAGAGAAAAAGACCTCGTCCAACAGTTTGTGGATGTTGCGTCTCTCTGCTGCTAGGAGCACCCCATCATTCGCCAGAATCCCAAGACATGTTCCGGCATGGCCGATTGCTTCCATTGCGTATTCCACCTGATACAGGCGGCCTACAGTGCACATTTAATAATAATAATAATAAAACTCAACATGACTGCTAAATCAGAATGGCACCAGAGGAAACTAACTCTTCTCTTTCGCCACACTGAAGACCAAATATCCAACTATGACAGACGTGCTATCCATCACGATGCACCAAATAACTATTATCAAATAGAAAGAACAATACACTTGCCTTCAGGGGAAAATATGGTTGTCCGGGAATCATATCTGCGAGACTAAACATCAAACAGGAACACAAATTAGTAGACTAAGAAGGTACAAAAGAACTTCTTATGAATGCAGAATGAGGTAACTTACCATTTCTTCGTCAGCGAGTAACCACCCTGCCGATAAAAATTGAAAGATTAGGAGGTCAGAGCCAGAAGAGAAAATGAGTCAACATTTTTACGCACATAGCTCGAGCATTCTAATACCTGTGGTTTTAATTGTGCCACATTTACGATGTACCTCAGTAAAGGACCTCAATGATAATACCTTAAAGACAAATTACAACGCATTTATATGGATCAATAATGAACTAGTGTGTCTCGGTGTGACAGCTTGCTAACTCAACAGAATGAATCTGCAATATCGAAGCTAAGCTAGCTAGCATGCTACTTCATAATAAAAGAGAACGAACACGACAGTCAAGCATTTCTGACTCTAAACACGTAGTTGAGAACAACGTTATCAGCGTTACTGATAGCGTATGTTTATAGTACCTTCGATGAAAAAGCGCAAGTTGTATTATCCAACGAAGAAAATTATTGTACTTTCTGTTTAACACTTCCACCGGTGTGAGAGTAGACGCTACAGTGAGACACTGGCTCAAACAGCGCCACCTGACTGTGGGAGGATAACGCAAGTTCTGATTACACAGTGCATACGTTACAGAACATACAAAGATTCACGTTTTACGACGTTTTTGTGGATTTCGTGTTCCCTCGGTTGAAGAGGAAAACTGTTCTATATCTGTTCACTATGTTCTGTTCTCACTCAACATACAGAATGGACGGTTAAAGCATCTTGCTTACTTGTCTTTAATTGGCATAACTCTGGAAGCACATGAACTCAGTCTCGTAACATCGGGGAGAACACAATAGTATTGTTACAAAAACAACCATCCTGACTGTTATGGACACAAAGTTCAAAAGCCAGCATCTGTGATGGTATGAGGCTGTGTTAGTGCCAATGGCATGGGGAACTTGCACATCTATGACGGAAGCATTCATGGTGAAAGGTACATACAGGTTTTGGAGAAACATATAGTGACATCCAAGCAGTGTCTTTTTCATGGACGCCCCTGCTTATTTCACCAAAACAATGCTAAACCACATTCTGCAAGTGTTAGAACAGCGTGGCTTCGTATATACAGTAAGAGTGCGGGTTCTCGACTGGCCTGCCGACAATGCAGACCTGTCCCCATTGAAAATGTGCGTAAAATATGACACCGGAGTCCGCGGACTGTTGAAGAGCTGAAGCTGTACATCAAACAAGAATTTGAAGGAATTCCACCTACAAAGCTTAAACCATTAGTGTCCTCAGTTCCCAAATGTTTATCGAATATTATCTTCAAAAAGGTGATGTAAGATAGAGGTAAACATGACCCTGTCCCAGCTTTTTGGGAATGTGTTGCAGCCATAAAAATCGAAGTTATTATTTGCTAAGAACAATAAATGTTATCAGTTTGAACATTACAAATACAGTCTTTTTATTGTATTCAATTAAATAAAGCTGAGCATGATTTTTGCAAATCGTTGCATTCTGTTTTTGTGTATGTTTAACACAACGGGGGTAAAGTGCTGACATTAAAAACGTGATCCTCCTGCTACTACAGATCTTATGTGTAATATTGTTTGACATGTAAATAGGTTGTTTCAGTAACGTTAATATCATAGTAACATATCATATTAAAGTTCACAAACCATTTTAAAATTTTTGTTTTTATTGAATATTTTTCCAGATTCTAAAATGAACGCAGGATGAGTGAGAGTGACTTGGTCACTCTAGACGGCGCTATGGTATTTACCGGCCCTCAAGTTGAGAGTGAAGAAAAGAAGAGAAGGAAAGACGCGTGTCCTGATTGGTTGTGGCATCAGCACGCCAGTACAGTGTTTGGAATGGAAGCTGGAAGTTGAGACGAGATCGGAGGTTGCCGAGTCAACTCTGGCAATGTTTTAATGTTTTAACTGCTCGATGACGTTACTACCATGAGCACATTTTAATCGGACGTTGACGTGATGTTTCAAGTCGTTTAGCACATGGATTTAACGTAAAGATCCGTTCGAAGGGTACGTGTTTTAAATGGAATTTCTGAGGGCTATGCTAACATCGCGGACCCGCTGTACAGTAGTACAGTACAAGCCTGTATTTCGAACTTTAGCCTCGTTTGAGCGTCACACTGGGTGCACAGCGTTCTTATTAACGGTTCTGACTCGAAGGCTAAAAACAAAGCTGTTGTCATAACTGTTACATTATCGTTAATATACACTAACAATGGAAACACTAACAGGCTGTGTTACTTTGTCTGACCACATTATTAGCGTTGCTTAATTTTCGTGCGTTAGTCTAAATACATCCTGACCGTTGAATTATCTCGCTTTCATGTATTAAGCTTTTCGCACATCATCCATTGTTTGAGAACAAAACCACACTACTGTCCCTGATTATCATTTGTTATAACTCAGTTTTCTTGTCCCGTTAGTGTTGCGTGGACAGGTCGCCGGCTAATCACAAACCACTGGGCCGTGAGACGTCAGATACTCCAAATGCTCTTTCACTAGATGTCAGACATGAATCATTCCAATGAGGATGCTCCTCCGGCCGGCACCGTGCAGCAAAAGAGGAACATACAAATCATCGAGTGGGAAGACTTGGACAAAAGGAAGTTCTACTCTTTTGGCGTCTTCATCACCTTGAGCATCAGGGCCACGGTCTACCCGGCGACCCTCATCCGGACTCGGCTGCAGGTGCAGCGCGGCAAATCGCTTTACAACGGCACTTTTGATGCCTTTGTCAAGATTCTGCGGGCGGAGGGTGTTCGGGGCCTGTATCGCGGCTTCATGGTCAACACCTTCACCCTCATCTCAGGCCAGGCATACATAACCACCTATGAGCTGGTGAGAAAGTATGTCTCCAAATACAGCGATGACAACACAGTCAAGTCGGTGGTGGCGGGTGGCCTCGCTTCCATGGTAGCGCAGAGCATCACTGTCCCCATAGATGTGGGGTCACAGCAGCTGATGATGCAGGGGCAAGGGGAGCACCTCAGCCGCTTTCGCCCTAACGCCCACTCAGAGGCTGGCAAGCCCAGACGAGTGTTTGGCCAAACCAGGAGCATAGTGGCGCAAATATTTGCTGCTGATGGTTTACCGGGTTTCTACAGGGGGGCTCTGGCTTCTCTACTCACCTACATCCCAAACAGTGCAGTCTGGTGGCCTTTTTATCATTTTTATGCAGGTAAGCCTAAATTCACGTTCACTGAAGTTAGCGATATTCAATGTCAGCATGTAATTTAACGATTAACTTAAAATGAACAACCGTATGACCTTCACAGGAAACACAAAATAGAAGCGCAATTCCCTTGGACATTTATTGGTCATGTTTAGTTCACCTGAAAGGGTCGCAGTGGATTTCAGATTCGTCTTGAAATTTCACCTGAAAGCTAAATACCCTCAACTTTTTGTGAGTAGTGTATCTTTAGTGCTACGCTGCTGCCTGCAGACAGCTGGGATATGTTCCAGCACTCTCGCACACCTCGTGAGGATAAGCGGCTCGGATAATGGATGGATGAATAAATGGAATGATCCCCCTCCTGTGTGTGTTCTTCAGAGCAGCTGTCAAATCTGGCCCCCTCTGGCTGTCCTCATCTGGTCCTGCAGGCCATGGCGGGTCCACTCGCTGCGGCCACCGCCTCCACCGTCACCAACCCCATGGATGTCATCAGAGCCAGAGTGCAGGTAAGTCTCAGGTCAAGAAGCCTATAACACATACGCGCCTTAAAGGTTCCAGTTGTACAGTGTATTAGTGATTGTAAATTCAGCTGAGTTCCTTTGTGTTCTGTTCAGGTTGAAGGTCGCAGTTCAATCACCGAGACCTTCAGGCAGCTGATCAAGGAGGAGGGCTTCTGGGGAATGACCAAAGGGCTGTCGGCCCGCATCATTTCATCCACCCCCACCGCCATCGTCATGGTGGTGGGCTACGAGAGCCTCAAAAAACTGAGCTTACGGCCAGAGCTGGTGGACTCCAGACACTGGTAGAAATGACCGGTCACGGGGACCGTGGCATGCACTGATTCAAAGAGACTCATAACGCTTGTTTTTTTATGAAACATACACTCCTATGCTGGTGAAAATCAAGATTGGACACAAAAACAAGAATACCTCACGTTTTTTTGTTGTTTTTTTTTTACCAAGAGACCAAAGGGGGAGTCAACCCCCCAAAATTACTTCACAATAATATGTTCTATGCAGCCACCAGTCGTCTAATTCTCATGAATTTTGCGATTGTGGAATATGAGCGAATCAGTAAAATCCACCCGTTTTTGTCCATCTTAGGGGGCGGCCATTTTGCCATTTATTATCGCGGCAAAATGACATCAGAGTTGCCCAAGTCTCAAGTAATGACCAATCACGGCTCAGCTTCAGAAAACGGTTGTGCTGTGATTGGTGGTTACCTGAGCCCTATGTCACTGTGATGCCATTTTCAGTTGCCAGAAAGTGTCAAAAAATGGCCACCTTTTGAGATGGCTAAAAACGGTTGGATTTTGCTTATTATTCAGAATACCGTGTTTAGACTAGTTGAGGCGCATGAAACACATTACTGTGAAGAAAATGTTCTGGTTGACTTCCCCTTTAAGAAGTGTTTGCAGACTGATTTTATTTCTTCATTCTGAGCATGAACTGTGGTTATGCAGTTGTGGGGAGAGTTTTGTCCTCTACTATAAATGTTTGAACAGCAAATAGTGGGCCCTTACCCAAACCTGATTTTTGTCAGTAACTATTCAATAGTGGGAGGTCATCTATTTGTTTTTTTCACTTTTTCCCAGGAAGTAATGACAAAAGATTTATATTTTCCCCGTGGTACATTAATTAAATGTAAATATTTGTTCTCCCTATGAATAAATGACAAAAAAAGCAAGTTCCATGCAACTCACAATCATGTTTGTCCTTACTATTTTATGGTTTTAAGCACAACATAAATGGTGCATTTACTGCTGATGTCTTAAAAGAATGTATTGTGTGTAATTTATTCATTTATGTTATATTTGGGTGTTGCTGTTTTTAGGAAAGGAGCAGTTATCTTTCTCAATTGAAAATAAATCATTCTGTGTATAAAAATAAATTCTTAACACTGCGTTACTAAATTGTGAGAACAAGCAGCGTGACGCGGTGGCTATGTTTTTTTTTTGTACAGATTCTTTGCACGGGCGCACTACCATGACAATTTACTTTTGTCCGTACTACTGAACATCAAAAAAGTCCATCTATTAAATCATGCACCAGAAGTAATTGTTTTGTATAATGAGGTCATTTTTGCTTTTGAGAGTCTATGCATCACTTTCCTGTCACATTGTCAAAGGCACCCTTTGCTGAACTTGGGGTCAATACCAAATCGCAAATAAAAACAACTGTAAAGTATTGTATTGATCATAAAACATTTGGGTAAAAAAATGGCTTTTGGAGTCCTGTTGATTGTAACAAATGTATGCCTTCATCATACCACAACCCAATGTCAGGTTTATGCTAAAGTCGCCCTTAAATTTGCATAGGTAGTTATCAAAATCTGTCATCTATCTCTGTAAGATCAATACAACCGTATGTAGATTGCACATTTAGAATTATTGTATCTATTCATTTTCAAAGTGAGAAATAGAATAAAACATTATTTCACGTTAAGATGTCAAATTGTAGTTTACTGCTTTACTCTGCTGTTTTTCTTCTCACTTCACCCATCTATCTGAAGCTTGCTTCAAGATAATTCTCTTTGGCTTTACTTTCTCAGGACATTGACTCAATCAAAACTGGACTGCTCCCATTTGGCTGAGAATACATTTTGCCTCTGCTCTGAGAAGGCTTCATCTGTTCATGCAACAAGGCTTAGTTAGGACTGACCTGCCTGAGTTTGGTGCAGAAAATCCAACTATTTATGCTCCGAGTAGGATCTGAAGCTTGCTTGCAAGTCAAATTTTGGCTCATAATGACAAAGCAAAAAAAATTAACCAGGCCACGGCAGAACTTGAAAAGCGCATAAGTTGGAGCACACTAAAGTCAAGATCCCACTTTAGTTCACTGTGCATTGTTCATATATTGGAAACGTCTGTACTGTCAAACAGATGACCAACCCCCTGTAAATTTTTACTCTCTCTCCGCATCCCACCCAGTCGCCGCACTGTGTCTATGTTCTTCCAAATGTTAACTCTTCAGTTTGTAAATGCTTTTGGTGTTCGATGTGTGAAGCACATTGAGTTGCTTAGTAAAATGAAACGTGATATATCTATAGCTATCTCTATATAAAAAGCTGTCTTGACTTGCCTGACTCCACTGCGCTGCCCTAAAATAAAAATCAGCTCTCGATGAAAAAAAAAAAAAAAAAAAAAACATCTCATGTGTTTCTCCTCAATGCCCTCTAAACCCCGAGCCGTCCATGCATCTCATGGAGGTGACCCTCATGGCACCAAAACTCATAGCTCATTATGTTGGATGATAAGATGAAAGTCCGCACCAAAGTTATGTTTCTGGATGAGTGGAGGTACATCCACTAAAATTATGCTTGGTATCCTGTCTGCTGAACCTGTCTTTCCCATTTTTACTCCACAAAATGATTTTGCTGCTCGGAATAAGACCAACGCGCAAAGCAACACAGGGGGAAGACATCTTTCAGCTGACGCTTCCTGCTGGGAAGACAGAGTGCTCGCCGCTCCACTCCACACGTTATTTATCAAAGCCTGTCTGGAGGAGCACTTTGTCGAAAAAGATGGATGTGGAGGGAACATTTGTGACGTGGCCGCAGCCTGGAGGAGGAACCATGAAAGCTATTCTCAAGGGTGGGGGTGGGGGTTGGGGTGTGTGTGTGTGTGTGTGTGTGTGTGTGTGTGTGCGCACGCACGTCTGTGCAGGACAGGAGGATGGTCACATTAATGAAGATTGTGAGTTGATGGGAGTGTCGCGACGGGGTAGAAAATCTGACATCTCGTTTGTTTTGGTGAGTCATAAAAATGACCAGTACATTTGGATGAGCCGTTCTAACTGAAACCTTATTTTTGGGAAACAAAAAAATGATACTTTAATGACACAATTAAGAGTGAAGTATGTGTGAGGGTGTGTGCATGTGTGATACAAGGGCAGTGGAGGGGGTTTGGCTCGCCGCCTGGGATCATTAAGCACACAAGAGGAGAGACAGAGGGAGGACGCTTTGGAGGGAAGAAGAAGCAGTCGAGACCAACACTGATAGACAAAGTCAGACACACACACACGCACTAAAGAGGAGATATGCCAAATTTCGCAGGCACTTGGAAGATGAAAAGCAGCGAGAATTTTGACGAGTTACTCAAGGCGCTGGGTGAGAATGCTTTTTTTCTTTTTTGGGGCTCTGAGTGACCTCAGGTAGGAGCTTTGTTAGTTCGAAAGAGGGGTCTTTGCTGTCAAATGCAGATGAGGACACCTGGAATACTCAAATTAGACTGGCAGCAATCAACATTTCGCAATATTATGATGATTTTGCGGAGGGTTTGAATGTGTTGCAGGAAGCAGAAGTATTTCAATTAAGCTCCTACAATACAACAACCTACTTGGTTGTTTTTAAAGGACTTGATGAGATGCATGAGTGCGGCGTGGAAAGCAATTTTCCAGGAGTTGTCAAATAGTTTGTGCATTAAGTAAGTCAGAGAGAAGGTTAAGAGTTTTACTGCTCATTTGCAGTACTGAATCTATCGTTATGGACAGGAGAGTCGAACGGGGACAAAGTGGGCCAACATTCCTCTCCGTTTTTTTATTTTTTTCCCTAACTGCATCCCATGTGTTCAACATTTGCCGAGTGCAGACTTTGTGCTACTTAACAGCATATTTTGTCTCCAAAATGAATTATCTTCAAATTTGGCACACTTCTGCTCTACAACTCAAGAGTCCGGTTTGTGACCATCTTCTTGTAAACAAGACGTATACAAATAGTGAGGTGGTGGAAAATTGTGTCCATTTGCCTGACATGGGGTGAGTTCAGTTTCCTTTGTGTGAATGTGTGTATATGTGGTTCTCTCCATCTTTTTGTGCCCTGTGATTAACTGGCGATCGATCCAGTGTGTCGTCTGGATTTGCCATCTGGGATAGGCTCCAGTTCACCCGCAACCCCGAACAGTTAAAGTGGTACAGAAATTTGGATGGATGGATGTTGTGGAATAGTAATGCATTGCAATTCTATTTGAAAAACGAATGCCTTTTGTAACCAACTAACTAACTAGCTGTTTAACAACATGCAGTACAATACATAACAAAAGTGACTTTCCCAGCACTGCTTTTTGTAATTAGTGTAGTAATGATGCCATGGCACCCATCCATCCATTTTCAATACGGGGTTTTGGGGCCTATTCCAGCTCACTTCGGATGAAAGGCAAACTGCAACCTGGACTGGTTGCCAGTCCGTCGCAGGGTCCGTATAGAGACGGACAACCATTCGCACTCACATTCACACTGCCACGATGTTGGAACTAAACTCACGCTGTCTGCACCCAAGTCAGGTGAATGTACTACTGCACCAAGCATGCACCTCCCATGCCTCATTGGATTTATTAATATATTCACAAGAGGCTATTGGTAAGGTACTTTGGTACACTTGGCACAAAGTCCGTCTGTATTCTCAGGTGTGAACGCAATGTTGAGGAAGCTCGCCGTAACGGCTGCTTCCAAGCCTCATGTGGAGATCCAGCAGAATGGCGAGCAATTCTACATCAGGACTTACACCACCATCCGGACCACAGAGATCAACTTCCACATTGGCGAGGAGTTCAATGAGGAGACGGTGGATGGAAGAAAGTGTAAGGTAATTTCGTAGACAGAGCTATCACTCATCATGTGAACAAGAAAGTAAACAAACCCTCATCGAAGAAAAGAAAAAAAACAGCTAGAAACGTTCTGCTGAACCGACAGTAACTCAAAACATGTTTACCTGAGCCATGATGCATACACACCTTTCCAGAGTCTGGCCACTTGGGAGACGGAAAACAAAATGTACTGCAAACAGACTCTACTGAGCGGCAATGGGCCAAAAACCTTCTGGACCAGAGAGCTCAGAGGGGATGAACTCATTCTGGTTGGTACTCTATTATCATTAATATTTTGATATTATTCTTTTCAAGACAGTCTTTTGTTCAGATGAACACGAAAGAACTGTTTCAGTCTTCCTTGACAGAGATGACAATGTTAAGTTTTGCCTGTGTCAAAAAGGAATTCATTTTCGAATAACATTTCAATGGAGCCTATCGCGGTTGACTTTGGTCTAGTCACCGGCCAATTACAGGACACGTACACCTATGGACAACTTACTTTGAATGAACCTAACATGCATCATTTTGGAATGTGGGAGAAAGCCAAGTTATGGAAGAAAGCGGGAGCTCACGGAAATGTCCCAAACCCAACGGAAGGCCAGAATCAAGATTGGAACTGTAAATCTCAGAACTGCGAGGCCGACATGCTAACCAATTATCTACTATGCCGTCTCATAAAAGGCCTACATAATCCAATTTGCATATCAATGATGTTGTCACGGGTTGTTGTGGTAGTGGCGGCAAAAAGGTGGATCCAAATTCAGGGAAACGGTGAGGCAAGGCAGGAATGCTCTCAAAATGCCGTATTTTCCACACTAAAAGGCGCACTGGATTATGAGGTGCACCTTCAAATGAATGGCCTATTTTGTAATTTTTTTCACACATTGGGTGCACCGCGTTATAAGACGCAATCTACAATGCATCCACTAGATGGAGCGACGCTCAAGGTAAACACCAACAGAACGATCAGATGTCAGTAAAACCTATTTAATAAAGCAGCGACACCGTTCACTCAACCAAAAGCAAGTTATCACATTGACTCGTTAACGGTGAACTCTCTTGCCGCTGCTCTATTTCTGTGTTCAACTGTGAAACCGATCGCCTTTTGAACTCTGCGTTGTCAGCATGTCTCGAGCACAGAGCCATTTTGGGGTCGAAATATTACTGTAGTGACCATACACAAGGTGCATCGGATTTTAAGGCGCACTGTGAGCTTTGAAGAAAATGGAAGGCTTTTAGGTGCACCTTTTAGTGTGGAAAATACGGTTAGAAAGAGTAAAAGAGGGTGCACAGTGGACGACTGGTTTGCACGTTCACCTCACAGTGCAGGGTTCGATTCCGGCTCCGGCCTTCCTGTGTGGAGTTTGCATGGATTTTGTCGGAAAATTGACAGTCTTGTCGGAAAATCTGTTGCGGTTAAAGGGAGGGGAAAAAGTCATCATGTGCTTTCCCTGTCAACATAAGGCCCCCCTGGGTATGATGGACCAGATGGACTACAAAGTACAGAGGGGTGTGTTGACAAGCTGTTCTGTACTGACTGTGACTAACCATCAATCACATAAATATTTGGGAGGGGATGTAATTTGGAACAATGGTATGTTTTCGGCAGGGCCAAATCTGTTTTGAATTCAAGATAAGGGTGTGGGTGTCCATGTGGAGTGTTGGGCTGTAAAACGATAGGCACTTGGGGATGGATCATTGGGAAAAAAAAAATGTTTTAAGTTAATAGTGTGAGTTTGACCAGGCAGGAGACGGATGAAAGAAGTACAACACCACTATAACGTATAATAACAATGACACAAATACCACCAGTAATAACGGTCATAATATTTTGGTGCAGATACTGTATCGGCGTATAGCAGGGGTGTCAAAATCCAGTGCTTGAGGGCCGCTCTTGTGCATGTTTTAGATGTTTCCCTTCTCCAACACACGTGATTCAATTGATCAGGATCGTTATCAGGCTTCTGCAGAGCTTGCAGAGGTAGAATAGTCGTAGCAGTTCCCTACCTTCGATGAAATCATGTAATTTGTAAGAAGTGCAAGTTACCCTGTTGTTATCCTTTCTTGTAAAATGTGAACAGACTTCCGAGCATTCCAAACCATGTTTCTTGCTAGCCAGTTAAAAAAAAATAAAATTAAAAATTAAATAATATTGCTATGCAACGTGCGCAGTTACATCATATGTCCCGACTGGAATTGATGAGGGAATCGTTTGCAAAAACAGCAAACGATGCCAAGATATTTAAAGTCTGGGATCTGGTTCTCAACAAGAACTGTTTTTCGATTCTCATCCTTATTGAGGAGTAAGGTGTACCAATACACATGCTTCTTTTTTTTTTTTTTTTTTTTTTTTTTGGTGAAACTCTTCACATGACTGTTGAGAAGAGGCAGGGGGGTGCTAAGATCCCAACTGGCGGCTTCCGGTGGCCACAATACACCGTTTTGTTGTACTCAAATGAAACGGGAATTAATATTCACGTTTCTTTGGGTCATGTAAAACACAAAACAAAACAAAACTGAGATTTGCTATAATGCTGGTTAAAACCCTCCAACACTCTCATCCCCAGGTAGCACGGTGAGTATGCCCGGTGGGGGCTGTGAGCAGCAAAAACTAGCTTTTGGCACCCCGGATTGGTTATCTGACAATCACAAGGCATATTATAGAGACGGAAAACCGGCATCCTGAGTGATAATACATTTATGTGGTTTTACTGCGTCAACCGGCCCCCTGAAGGCAACTGGCCAGTGTTGAAAATCAGTTTGACACCCGTGGTGTCATGCAACAAAATCTGGATAGCAGCTGTTGGATAAAGCAAATACAAGACAAATGTGTGTAATAATATTCACAATACCGTACAACAGCGACAGCTAGTCAAGCATCAGGTCAAATCAGACAGTTTCCAGGGTGGCAAGCTAAAAACAGAAAATAACTCCAAGCATTTGAAAGCCGTATTTTTGTTGCTCGCAGTGCTTCCAGTTGGACAGCGGACATGGTGGATTACAGCCGCCCTCAGTGAGACTGAGGACGGCCAGACTTTAATGACCACTTTGAGTCGACCCTTAAAATGATAAGTGGCAGTGTCGAAACAAAATATATTGTTATTGTTCCTGACAGGAAGCTCATTCCTCCGTTATAGTTGAGGCCATTTGATTAGAATGTTGAGGTCTCGAATGGGCGGTCCGAGCGGAGAAAAGAGTCAGGTGAAAATGTGTGCTTTTGATAATCCTTCGCTCTCCTACGGCCTCGAATTGGCCTCATTGATCACGGTGTGGATAAATGCAAATGAACCCTGGCGCTAGCTTCACTTAATGCCTCCCTGGGCGACTGGCCGGGTGCCAGATGGACTTGTGTCGGCTCCATTTGTCACCGACTCGGGCACCCGCTCTGCACCGCAGTGTTGCCTGAGATAATGATGTGTGGTGCTGCAGTCGGCCATAAAGATTTTCCTCTGGGACTTCCATAAATCGTTGCAAACTAAACACGGGCAACTCTACCGCAAGCCCTGGATTCCGACCAGTCACACTGCGACGCTTTCATGGAATCAAGAGTGGAAATTGGGAAGCGCGGTGGAAGAAAGCAACTTTTTTTTGGGCTCAATGAGGTTTAAGTAGCCTTGAGCAAAATACTTACATTCCTTCCATGACAACAGCCACAATCATCATCTATCTTAGGCAATGGGTGATCAAACCTTTAGGATCCCCTGGGACCCCTCAAAGGGGAGACTTTTTTTTTTTTCAAGAATCCTCCCATAATCCTGATGCCAAATTCAACATGACTTCCACATGTATCCATAAATAACATATATATTAAAATACATTTTCAAGAAAAAAAAAAGTCAGGTCCCATTTTTCCAAAGATAAATAAAGTTGGATTTTTGTGAAAAATGTGAGGTCATCTGATGAGAGCTGTGCACAGGACATGCGCTCACAATTCGACAGTTTTAGAAGGTGTGTGTATTAAAAAAAAGAGATGCGCCACAATACCGCATAAAGACGGACAAATACCCCGTAAAGAAAAGCCAAAGGTACTGCAACAAAGTATTAGTCTGAGGGTGTGCATATTTATCTTTGTCTATTTATGTTTGGCAACCACTGTCTTAGGCAACACCATTGCCACCAAATTTCCACCACTATACTGTATTTGCACATGCTTTGTATCTCTCATGAGCTTTTGCGCGTCCTTCTGCATCCCGTCAATGCAAGTCAACCTTGCTTCAAATTGCCAAGACTAATTTCCAGAAATGTTTTCTGGCAAAGTCAAATCAAGTTTGAATCGTGCTGTACTGCCTCACACCTTGTATTTACATTCATGAAGGCATCTATTGATTGAAGATTTTGACAAAGATACCTTCTCCAAACTACATTTTTGACTGCTGATGTTGAAATGTGTTTGTTTCTTTACGAAGCAAAGCATGACGGAAATTCCGAAATGCTAACATTTTTGTGCAGCCTTTTCAAATTAAAAGTCTATAACACTTAAAACTACATGTCAGTTATTGAATACCCATCAACATCATTACTGCCATTTTACATCAGATACTTTTTGTCCAAAGAGTGAAGGTGGTTCATTTAACATTGGGTGGTTTCAAACTTTGTAGATACAAAAGTAAACAATGCATAATAAAAGCAAAATATATACAGTAGAATAAACAAACCATACACTAAAGCTAATATATATTGTAATTGTCTATTTCAGACTTTTGGAGCTGACGATGTGGTGTGCACCAGGATCTACATGCGAGCGTAGGAGCAAACGGATTCTGCAAAACTTCCAAAATATACACCCCCACCCCACCCCGTCAACCGCCTTGCCATGCTGTTTCATATTTTCATAAAAACACAATATGGATGTATCTGCATAATCCCAATATCTATTTGCAGGACTGTGCTTCATACCACGCCATATATTTGTTTTCTCTCGTAAATCCCGAAGTAATAAAATACAGCTTCCAATCAACGTCGAATTGGCAATATTTCATGTGCGGATAAGCTGTTTTTCAAGTGAAAGTATAGGATGGGATGAACGCATGAGGAGAAAGGATGGGGAAAAAAAAACGTATTTCTGTCTATAAAGGATATTTTAATAGCAAACACCAGACTAACACACACATATACATGAAGAGAAGAGAACAGACACAGTAAAAGAAGATAAACAATGAATTTGTATACAATCAGCTCCTTGGAACCACGTGGCATATTCCATTCACAATGAACATAGTGAATACAAAAATAAAAACCAAACTCCAAGATTGTCTGTGTAGCTGGTTCAGTAATCATCACTTTAAAAAAGTTAGCCAATTTTTTTCCCCTCCCGCAATGTTGCAAATCTTTTTTTCGGTGTCAAATTTTGGTGTGTTTGCTAGTCTAGTAATCCCTCCTCTATGGAAAATGTATCGACTAATAGTTGAAAGAAGTAGTTCACATCCGCTATATAAAGAGAGACACATTTTTGTCGTCACTGTCTGACATAAAATCAGACCAAATTTTTCCTGTTCTAGGTAAATAGAGTCACAAAATTATTTCAATTTACTAAATGCGAGAATAACGAGGGATGGATTTTTTTTTTCAATACTTTCTTCAAAGTGTAGAACGGTACATACAGTAAGATTAGAATAAGGCGATGGAGGCTTCTGCTAGGTTTATTGACAACATTTGAGTTGATTAGATCGCACTTCGAATCAATCAACAAATGGCTGATATCGGGCCAAAACCTACTATGTTACAATTTGGAAACTTTTTTTTTGTTTTGTTTTGTTTTTTGGCCCACAAATCTATACTATTAGTTAATCCCCAGAAGTAGGTGTTATTTTTAGAAATCATAAAAAGCGATGCTTTTGGAATTACGAGGATTCCGCCGGACACCAACTAACATTTGAAAACGCACATGAAACACGCCTGCTATGTGTAACATCATGTGAAAGTTAAAGGAAATCTGCCAAGTTGTCGGGAAGAGAATTATGGACTGGTCCACAAGTCTGAGGGGTGAATCTGTAAATGTGTTTAAACAATTATGATAAACGTGCTTTGGTCCAAAATGTCCAAATCAACCCAAATTCTAAAGCAAGAGACCTTGGTAGATGCTGGCTCAAGCTAATAAGAGTGTGTCAAGAAGAAGCCATTTCTCCAAAAGCAACATGAAAAAGAGATTAAAGACAAGCAAATGCATACAGGGACAAAGACCTTAAATTTTGGTGGCGTGACAAAACATAAAATTGAGCTGTTTGGCCATAAAGAGCATCGATACACGTGCAAGCCTGAGAACACCATCCCAACTGAAACATGGAGGGTGGCAGCAGCATGTTGTGTTTTGCTGCAGGAGCGACTCGTGCACTTATAACGATACGGAAATACTGAAGCACGATCTCAAGACATCAGACAGGAAGTTGAAGATCTGGCACAAATGCATCTTTCAAACGGAAAATGACCCATAGCACGCCGCCAAACTGATTACAAGGTATTTTAAAGGATAATAAAATCCATGAGCTGATCTCAATCCTACTGCAGATCTATGGACAGCGCTGAAAAGGCACGCGCGAGCAAGCCGGCCGACCAAGTGGGCTCAGTTACACCAGTTCTGTCAGGAGATAGGATACATGATTCCTGCCGACTATTGTAAGAAGCTTGTAGAAGGATATCCAAAATGTTTGAACCAAGTCACGCACAGTACAGTATGAAAACATCTGACTTTGAAGTAATGAAAAAAAAAATCTCTAATAACTATCTCATTATTGTGGCATTCGGCAAATACAAATAATTTGGGGAATGCTAATATTACCGGGAACGGGAAACGTTTCGTATGATTTCATGTCACACAGTGACATAAAAAAAAGCATTGGTGTCTTTTTATATAGCGTATGTAAAGTTGTGGTTTATTCAGTACTGTATTTGCATGTCTATCTGCATGTGACACATGGAAGTTGGAGTCACGGGCTGAATTCTACTGGTTCAAAGCCTCGGGGCATTATCAATAAAAACTTACTGCTCTCATATGATCTAAGAGAGCTACAATTTCAAGATCAATATTTGCACTTCAGGGTGAGCTTTGGAGGGGGTGGGGGCAGACAATGTTTTACAACCATTAACATTCACAGTGGGGTAGAAGTATTGCTGACTGGTTTAGCTGACCCAAATACTGTACATGGCTGACATTCACGGAGAGAACTACTATATACAGCTGTGAGAGGAGGCATCGACACTTAACATGGGGAAAATACACACATTCGTATGTGTCGCATCTGTCACACAGATACGGGTCATTTGGACAAACGTAACTACAAAGAGCAAGCCATTGTTGGTTCATTGCAGTCTTGAAAACTGGACACTCGAAAAAAAAACAGACGGACACTGTGCACACGAGCACAAAATGCTGTTTGGCTACAGTCAGTCGTTTTAAAACCATAAGTCATAGCGATGCCAAAGACGGTTTAAAGGTATAGACGGTTTAGTCTTGAAGGGCATATAAAATTAGTGGTGTAAATAAAGGCTTTACCTTCACCAGACCGCCAACACACCAACAGGTCCCTCATCCAACCCCCCAACCCCCCCATTGTAGTAATTACACACACACACACACACACACACACACACACACACACACACACACGCGCACACACACAGAGCAAAAAACTTTACATTTTGCATTTAGCTGCGTCTAGCTAAATATCGCCACTGTGTCGTACAGTGCACTACACATCAAATATGACAACTAATGGACATCATTTACAAAAAGTGGTTGGCTCGTCCTGATTGAATAAACTTAGCAGAGCTGTGGACTCCAGCGTGCACGAGTGCACCTTTACCAGCAAGGGAAACATTCACAAGCTGCCCACTTTTACAGCTGCAATCAACATTTTTGTCGCGACCCAAAGACGTAAGTAAGCCGAGCTTCAGTTTCTCTTGTAGAGAGATGCCAAGCTACTGGAAATCCATTTACAAGAAGTTAGGAGGGATTTGCCCGTGGCAAAGAAAACTTCTCACACAGACCGACCTGAAAAATGTTTTTTTTTTTAAAAAAAACAGATTTTCTATCATGGAAAAGTATGAAATTGACCTGCATTAAGTGACGAAAAGAGCGGCCCAAAGTTGGCAAAAGAATAGGCAGGGTGAAGAATGAAGTTTCATTCGATGTCCACAGACAGTCCTACCGTGTGGTCGCTGATACGATCATTGCCTACTATGTTCTGTACTTGACTCGGTACTTGTTAACAGTGAGATAATGCAGGACCTCTGGATTGCACGTGGTACTGCAGGGCAGCAAGCCTTCTTGTCCCTCTCCCATCAGCCACTTCCGGCAGTCGGCGGCCATGTCGCTTGTCACGTGCTCCGTGGCCCAGGTGTCCAACCTGGCCTGAAAACGTCTGTGCAGGCGTCTGTGGACTCGCTTGTGGGACTGGAGGATACACCCATTAAAAAAAAAATAAAAAAAGGACGGACTTTAGGTTCAACCGACTGCCAAATTGATACATTTACATAACTGTCACATAAACGTTTAGTTCCGACTCATTTTGTGTTCCAAGGCTGCAGCTGACGCGCGATCCAACTATCCAAATGAGGACAAGCAGGACAGAAAATGAATGGACGGATGAATTGCCACAGTGAAGTTTCTGCTTCAGCAGCAGAGCAACACGCAAGAAGAAACTGTGTGTGTGTCTGTGTGTGTGTGTGTGTGTAACTTGCCTGATGAGCTCGTCTAAGAGCAGTGTGCCTGTACATGAAGTCCTCAGACTTGCAGACATAGACCATCTTGTAGGATTTGAGCTTGAACATGCACTCCATCTTCAGTTTGCTCTTGTCACCTTGCGACTCATCCGTGGTGCCCGTAGTCATCCTCTCCTGTTGTAGCTGTTCCCATCCTCTCTGGCACTTCCTTATTCTTCTCAGGTTCCTGAAAGCCAAAACAGCGGTTGTCAGGAATCAGACTGGATAACTCCAAACACTTCAAGTCCGAATTTTACACAAATCAAAAGTGTATCATGTTTACAGGTTAGGTTCAAAATGTATTTTTATTGCGTTCAGCATGTCACATGCTATTTCACAACCTTATACACACTGAAAAGAGCTGTCTAGTCAAATTTGAGAAGACTGTCCCTTTCAAGAAGAATGTTTACACCCATGCATTGCAACTCACCGAGGAACAGAATTAGATAGGAGGTCAAATCATTCGGGATATGGGGGATCTATAAGAGCAGCAGAGGCAGCAGTCGTAATATTTCCGATACAGTGAAACTGACTGTAAGCACAGTCACAGTGAAAATCCACACGCAAAAAAAAAAAAAAAAAAAAAAAAAATCATTTTAGTGTTCATTGAGCCCAATATTGTGCAAATAAGAAAGTAATCACCCCACCGGAATGAAAGTTTGAAATGTGTACTTACCACAGAGAGTATGGGTGAGCGAGGACTGAGTGCATGAGGCATATTTTTGCATTCAGGGCTCCACTTAAAAAGACAAGACACAGTCTGTCCAGGCCAATTTCAGGTAAAACTGTTAGAAACAAACACTACAGAATCGCTGCCTTGTTGGATACCGTTCCAAAATATGAGCGGAGAATACTTAAGATGTTCACATATTGTCACCAACAATGCAGTGTTATGATTATGAGATGAGAACCAACCCAACAAAACTGGAAAAGAAACTGCATCTGTGCTGCCACTGAGGCTTTTTTTTTTGTTGTGAAGATGGGCAGTTTTTTTTTTTTTTTTTTACTCCTGTGCTGCTGACCTCTCATAGATTTAGTGGGGAGGCGGGGCGGGGGATAAGATGTAGGTGAGCCCAATGATAAATCATAAGCCAGAGAAAACAATTTGTGCAATGGGTTGAAACAAAGAAGGACAAAGCACAAAGGTCTGGTTTTGGAAGGCCTTTTGAAATGTATATGGTTATGGACAGCCATCTCAAAAGACAAAAAACACTCAATGAGTGCCAGACTTTACAAGACAGGCCGCCACATGTGGAACGTGAAGACAAACCAGACACAGAAACGCTTTCGTGCACAATTTGCCAAGAAAAAAATAGACCACCATATGCGTATACAATTTAGATGATCATTTTTATTGACAAACCCTATTCCTCTTTACAAGTGATGCAGAAAATGTGCTTGACCAGAGTTCTACAAAAAAAACTTGAGCACAAATCTCTCAAATGGTGGTAAAACCTCACGCACAACAACAAAAGGGAGTGCACGTTCCCAGTCCTTACAAACGGAACATTGGATTGTAACACAGGGATGTGTGAACATTTACATTTGTGAACAGAGATGAGGTCACGTGCACGACTCTTGCTTTGAATACACTTGCAAAGAGGGCATGATAAATTCAAGCTATTGTTCACAAAATCCTGATACAAGAGTCTTCGTTGTTCAGTAGTCAAACGCAGGCCAAGTAAGTTGTAGAAAATTGAAATAACATGACATTAAGTCCGACCCATTTGTTTTACTCAAAATTTGCGTCTTCGCTATGTCGTGACGTCACACACCGAAATCAGCACTTCAATTCAACACATAATGACTCATCAAACCAAAAGTCTGCTAAAGTGGGAATTCCAAACCATGACAAAGCCAACCCCTTTTTAAAAAATATTTTAACTTATAAATAAAACCCCATTTAAAAAAGGAACTGAATGATTGAATACATAAATTCCCTTTTGTTAAAAGAATGACCATGTAAAGTGCAATCTTGGTGTGAGGCAGAGGTCTGAAACTGAACAGCCTTTCATTGTAAATGCGGCCTCATTATGGTGGTCACATCTTGCACTCTGTCTGACCACGTTGTCTGTCCGTGAGCACGCACCAAAACCGAAAGACAGACTTTATTTTTTTTCGCCGACGTGCTACCGCTCTTGTTTGTGAGGAGGACTTTGGCACACCAACAGCGGAGGATCAGGACGGAAGTTGAAAGAGAGCAGACAAGAGGGAGACATGGCCGGGGCCTCACCTGGGCAGAAATACCGGTTTCTGGGCCAAATGCTCACGCAGCTCTGCAGAAGTTGAATCTGAGTTGAGGTATCTGCCCACATAGTCCGACCACCTCTGTTGAGTAAACAACAGAGGAGCATTAGTTAGAAATTAAGGTTTATGGGCAATTTTCAAATCTAGGACTACTAACCAAAGACTCTCTGACTCTCTCTTTATTTACATACTCTAAAATGAAAAGTCAACATGAGGCCTTTGCTTGATTATTCGAGTACTTGCCTCTGCAGGCTCGTCAGAGTTCTCCTCTTCTGTGTCCAGCAGCTCCATGGCCACACAAACAGAGTCTTGATTCTTCATAAACATCAACTGGACAAAACAGAAAAAGATGAGAGCTCTGTGTGCATCCAAGAGGACGGACTGACTTGGGTTTACGGTACCTTGAAGCAGTTCTCTTCAGACATGAGCTGCTCTGATTTGCGCTGATAGGTGCCCTCTGCTGTGGCACGGGATGCTTGAGTGGGCAGGGAACCACCTGTGGCTTTATTGGCAACTTCGCTCAGGTACAAGTCCATCACCCGTGCGCATCCATCATCAGTGACGAGGTGTTGGAGCTGTAAAAGACATTCACTTTGCAATAAAAAGGAGCACTTGGGGAAACAATCAAGTGGAGGCAAAGTCTTCCTGGAGATATCTCGATTTCTCTTAGCAGACCATGTTGTTCCTCAGACCGCAAACTAAATGAAGACTGAATTAACAGGGTCTTTGTTGGCTGCACAACAGTCATGCAATCCATTTTGCCTCAACTGTTTCAGGATCAATGAAGCAATAATTGATTGTCGAAGAACAATGCCATGGTGAGTGTCAATTCGGGGTCCAACATTAAAGGGGTGAGGCATGTCAAAAATGTTCTTTACAATAATATGCGCACCCACTAGTCAAAACAAAGCATTCTGATTAGGAATGCGTTTGTGGAATATAAATTAAAGCAAAATCCACCTTTTTTTGTCAATCCAAGGAGTGGCCATTTTCCCTTCTGCTGCCACTTGCTGTCGACTGAAAATGACATCACAGCGCCTACGTGCTCAGGCAACGACCAATCACGGTTCACCCGTTTTCTGGGTTTGGTCGTGCGACATTCGCAAGCTGAGCCCTTAGCACTGATGTCATTTTCAGTTGACCGCAAGTGGCAAAATGGCTGCCCCTGAGATAGACAAAAATAGATTTTGCTGCTTAATTCATATTCCACAAGCGTATAATAATATTAATCCGAACACCATGTTTAGATTAGTGGGGGCGCATAGCACCTATTAATGTAATGACATTTTTTAACCTGACTTAATTTATTTCAGCCTTTTTGAGGTGGCCTTGTCTATTCTCAAAATACAGGATATTAAGTATTTGTGATTATTTCATTTAAAGTCTTCATCCTGTACAATTACATTAATGGCTATGACTGTGTTCTACACTCAGTAAAATCAAGGCATTACAATTGCAGAAATGAATGTTGATGCTTCAACGAATAATTTGCTTTTGTTTCTTGCATCAGAACATAATCCTGTTTCAGCTGGTTTGTCTCGGTAATAAATGTATTTCGGTCCAAATCCGACAATGTGCCTTGTAGCCCATTTTTGGAGGCCTAAAACTTACTGACCAAGTCGGGCCGCAGTTAATGTCAAACCCTCGAATGATTATTTCTTTGATATATTCATTATTGAGCTACAGAAAATGGCAATTAAAATCAATGGACTATGCTGACCTGCCGGACAATGCTCTGGATAAGTTTGTCCATGGTGAAGGCAATGTAAGCATGGATAGTAAACATTTCCCTCAAGGAATCCTCATACTGAGCTGGTTCCATGTTACCATCCAAAAGGCTCCGCACCATTTCCAGAAAGACAGAATAGTAATCCTCTACTTCAACGTCCACTGGAACAAGAAAAAGAAAGGTAAGCGGTGGAGATTAGACGATTCTTTCAGAGTATTTCTGTAAACTAGAGTGCAATTCGAGTACAATACACTTACTAGGTTCCCTCATCTTAAGCTGGAAGGCTGTATTTTCATTCTTTTCTTTTTGGAGGCCAAACATTTCCTTTTCCCATTCTCTCTCGCGAGCATCCTCCTCAATCTGCTTCTCAGCCTGCCCATAGATTCGCAGTAAGCGAGAGCAGAGGATGTGATGAAGGCGCAGGAAGATGTACCAGTAGTTGTTCACAAAGAACAAGTTATACGCCTCATCTGTGGCGCGCAACTTCTGAGCGGCCGTGTTGCTGAAAAGGAGCTTGGACTTTGATGGGCTGCTGCCTGGCAGGCCATTGTGTTTTTTGGCGCCATCTGGCTCTGCATCCATATCCTCCACATCCTCCTCCTCTTCGTCGTCCTCCACATCGGAGAGCTCACCTCGCCGGGCAAAAAGGAGATCGGGGATGAAGTGGTGTATGATCTGTTTGATCTTGTATTTGTCATCTTTCTGGATGCCCACTTGTCTCTTCACGTGATAAATAATGAGGGCCGCCGCATCCTCGAGGATCTGACTGTCTTCGTAGGCCAAGTTCATGTGTGGGCCGCTAGGAGGGGCAATGGCAGGGTCCTCTGAGACACGCTCTTGCCGCTACAGCACAAAGCCACAAGTTTATTGAGGATGACAGTGTCATGTAAGTATTTATAGCAGCCTTCCTCAACTGGCGGACCGCGATCCACGACCGGACCGCCGACCTCCTCTGTCCGGACCTCCTCTGTCCGGACCCTCGGCAAATTGTATAAAATAATAATTTATAGAGTGATTTTTACGTTATACATTTTGTATTTGTGGACTATAATCTGCGCATTACCGCGATCGCTTGTTAAAATTATCCGTTGTATTCTTTGCGTGCACTAACAGATGTATTGCAGAGGACCGCAGCAGCGCGACTGTGTGTTGTATAATGTTTGACTCACTGGAGACCCTGGCTGAGCAGGGCATGTCGGCGATAACGACGCGCTGATTGGCTCCTCTGAACTTAAGATGTGCCCATACATAAGCGTCAGCATATACGATGCGCTGATTGGCTCCTCTGAACTTAAGGTCAGCACGCGTCTATCCCAATACACATGCATTCAAAATGGATGATTGTGTCAAGAAACAGACGCATGTGCGACGCCACAGTGTGCTACTGCTCACAGCTTCAGTCCAGGAGAGCCACACACAGGCAATTAGACGAATTGCGGGAGGTTTCGATTGTGTGCAGTTTTGCTCCCGTCTACCCGGGGATCTTTGCAGCTGTTTAACAGCAGAACA